CTCCATCCCCCCCACCCGACCTTGGACGAAACGGAGAAAGTGATGGTTCACGCCTTCGGAAGGATCCTCGTCGTCAGCCCGCCCATCTTTCCTCAGGCCCTTCCGATAAGCTAAGAGGTCCTCCACCACCGGCGCCACCCCCTCCTCCCCGCGTGCCGCAAGCCGCAATCCCTGCCCCCGATCCCTCCCAACCTCGGCCCAGGCCGTCCAGCACCACCACTCAATCGTTACAATTCATTTTGGCCGTGGACAGAGAGATGAAAAGCATGCTGGAAAAGCTTCTTCAAGAAATGGGGGAGGCCAAGATGACCATCGAAGAGCTGGCTCGGCGCAATCCCCGCGCTGCCGAGCAACTGAAGAAAGCTGCGGAGGTCACTGTCGCCAGCCGCTTACACTCTGAGGCCCAGAACGCCGTGGATGCCTTGGATGCGGTGGGACCCTTTGCCCTTCCGCCCGTGGACAGGAACATGTGGGTTAAAGGTGGACAGGTGGCAGCGCGCTTGCAGAAGGCAGTCTCCGACGCAGGGCCCGCCCCGGTCAAGGCGGGGTTGATCAGGGCGGCGCAAGAAACCGCCTCGCAAGTCAAAGCCATGATTAATATTCTCATGCAGCACCAAGGTCTTCCTCCTCTCCCTCATCACAATCCTGCATCAGCTCCTGCCCCGCGCCCTCCGCCTCCTCCTCCACCGCCTCCCCCCCCTCCTCCTCCGCCACCTCATCAACCTTCACAGCCATATGCTTTACAGACCATGGCACAAAAACTAGCGGAAGCTTTGTTGAACCAACAGCAACGGCAGCCACAATACTCGCAACAACACCTTCAACAGCAAGTTCCTCCCAATATCCCGCCATCCAGTATTCCCTTGTCGCAACAGCAGCAGCAACAGCCGCCAGCGCCGCACCAAGCATTGTCACAACAGGATCAAAAGCAACAACAATTGTCTCGCCAACAGCAAGGTAAACAGTACATTCTCATTAAGCTCTATTCGGGGGAGCAATGCAAGGAAGATGGCCTCCGCTTCTCGTCTCCGACATCCCTCCAGGACCACGAAGCGTGGCTAGCAAAAGTTCACAAGCTCGCTTTGGCTGCAGCTGGGAAAGGAACCACTCCGACGGAGGTTCTGCTGCGCTCTCGTCCATGGTTCTGTACAATTGACGCATGGTCCAAGGAGGCACTCCCGTCAGAACGCGCCGAATCATTAGCATCCAGAATCTCTCATCTGAATCTGAGACAGAAGGGGCGGTCAGTGGGACAAAAGACGGACGGAAGAAAAGGAATAGATGGAGGGCATGGAGATAACGAGGCAGAAAACCTGGCACATTGCGTCCCTGTCGATGACGGGTTTAGCGGTTGTGCCTTGTGTGGTGAGCCGTTTGACCAATTTTGGGAAGATGCTTCTTCCGAGTGGATGTATCGTAACGCCATTCCTGTGACGATTGTGGAAGGAGAGTGCGTTCCTGTGTCTTCAGACACAGCAGTCGAATCAGGAGAAAGCACGCGGCATTTGGTACATTGGTTATGTTATGAGGCGTGTGACCGCAGAGAGGCAGCTCGAATGTTGCAGAAGCCGGGCGACACATCCACGACCACTGCATCTCACGGTGGAAACGGCGATGATGCGAAAGGTGCTTTGAGCTTGGAGAATAAGCCGGAAGCGGTTGGCGTATAGTTTTGTGGTAGTAGGTTTTAAAAGGAGGAAACGAGGCGCGAAAAGTAAAAAATCCCCCCGGCCAATACAAGACGCAATCTGTCCTCGTAAGCCCTTCGTATTATTGCTGTGCATTCTCCGCGATTGTTTTTCTCTTGGCCATCCTTTGGCAGCAGGACGTCGTGCGTCCTCTCATTGCAGCGTAATGTTGGAGGCCGGTGGGAAATCTGGGGCTTGGTTACGCGTCGTTATTGGCACCCCGGGATATCAGCAAGGGACAAGCTATATGACATAAATTATATCGCATAACTTCGGACTCCCAAGGTCTTGTTTGGCTTGGCTTTCTTGGAGTGTGAGAGGAACGAGACAGGCATATAGGGCGCTACATCCTCTGTGAACCCCTCATCACCTGTTTAGAGCTCGGAATGCCCGACGGAACACCATCCACAAGACAAATCGCGAATTAGGCCGAAAAGGCAGAACGAAGCAGATATGAAGAATTGAGGGCTTACTTTTCTTTTCTTTTATGCGCACCCCTGTATAGTTTACTTTAATTGATCCTGACCACAACTGATTTCAAGATCTGCGTTGCATCATGACTTTCAAGGCCTCTCCCGGTCGGGACGGCACCCTTCGTGCTACATCGGCTTTCGTTCTATTGATACTCTGTCTGACAGCTTCATCCTATCCGCATCAAAGCTCATCGTGCCCGCTGTCCTCGTCGCTCCGAGGGTGGATGAAGATGCCTTGAACAGCCTTCCACACTGTCTCCGCTCCACCGGTCTGGTGGCAAAAGACCTCCTGTTGGCCCACAATTGGACAGTTTGGGCAATTCTTCTGCGTAAACCGATGCTTGGCCTCCGTCTGCAGGAATCGACCCGTGTCCTTGTGCTTGAATCGGACCTCGTCCCCCCTTCGCCAGAATTTAGCACCAGGGGCCATGCATACTACCTCCCAATTATCCCCACTATCCCCGCGCCCACCGTCCCCGAAGCAGCTGACCTCTTGCTGGTTTGAAAGAGGGGATGAAAAAAAATGCGAGTGCAAGTTTTTGGAGGTCTCCATGTGTCCAAGCCGGATGGCGGTCCCGCAAGCCACCGGGGAGCCTCCCTCTTTAAACGGGTCGTTGTCTCCCTCAGCTACAACCCACAAGCCTCCCCGATCATCCGCACTTCCATGGGCTGTTACGGACTGTTGCCCACTGCCTGAGCCCCAACTAATTTGATGGCTGTGGAGAAAGTACTTGCTGGGAACGTGCTGAAGTTTGACAACGCTGCCGAAGGTCATGATGTCATCTGTTAATGCCAGAAAACGCGAGGAAAACAGAAAGGCTTGAGACGAGAAAACAACAGCAATGCATGAATCAAAAATTGAAAAATTCGGGCCTTGAGTAAGAAAGATGCCCCTCCAAACACATATGAAGAGTGTTGCGACCGCACTTAAACCCGCTGAACGCCTTTCCAGATGGAATGACCTTCAAACAAATACATTTCGGAGGGCAATCTTCGCGATTCTTACATCGAAGTGACTTCGATGGCAACTCCAAATGGTCTACTGCAATAAACTGCCAATCAAAAAGAAGGCTACACTTTTGTGATATGAGGAGCGGACCCACACTCGGAGCCCATACTTGAACAAAAATGATACGCAGCCCAAAAAAAATTCTTTCGCATGACAAGTCTTCGTACTTATAGATGCGTAAAATTACGAAAACAATAGATACCTTCTAACGACAGTACGGGTGTGACCAATGTGAGCAGCAGCCAGCCAGCAGCAGTAGAGAGCATCATGTTCCTCCTCATCTCACTTGTAGCAGGTGTGTTTGATCGCTGTCTGTGGAATTTAGAATTTGGATTTGAGCCCGCCTCGAGATGTTTCAAGAAAGCCATCATGTTTCCATGTTGTACGTGAAGGGAAGAGAAACGGGTAAGGCGACGAGTGGAGCACAAATGGTATGATCAAATGTAGTGGTGGGGTCGATCACGGGCGCTGAATCACTCATCATGCCGGGGAGAATTTGAAACGCCCGTTTGAATGAACCGTTGCCCGGGGGAGTAACGGTTTCCCGCGAAACGACACGTTTGTTCGATAAAACGTCTCTTCCCCGTCGTGCACTCTGCCTCAGGTAAACCATTTGTCCTTTACACTCGATTTCTATGATATATTTCGCTATATTACAAGTCACTTTGTATCTTAGTGCTGTACGCGGCAAGAGTAATACAGCACCAGAGCTGCTAGCCCTCGGCTCCCGTTAGTCAAGCCTAGCATGTCGACTTGCGGAGGCAACGTGCAGATGCCACCGTATCATCAATCATCATCTATTTTCTTTGTATGCATATCATCACTCAAGACTTATACATATGCATTTCAAACTGTAAGGAGGACCTCTGTTCAAGTTTGTATTGGATCGCGTCTGGGTTTGTACGAGCACTGCCAACACGACTGCCCGATCTTCTCGACGACGCCCCGTCTCGCCACCATTGAAAGTCGAGCAGAAGCCATAGCACTGCGAGTCTAGATCTGTATGAACACCATGGACTTCGTTTCGTGTGTAGCTGCTAGGACTTCACCGCTGGCGTTTCCATCTACACAAGGAGCTTCGAAGCCGCCGCAAGTGGTAACCGCCACGACTAACCATCGCAATCGGATGTCACCACCTTGCATGTCTACTATATTTGCAGAAGATGACCGATTTCAACATGACCATTCAGATAAAAGAGTTGCCAAGCGCATGCAACAGGCTAATGATATGGAAAAGCGTGGCGTGTTCGATGCATATCAATGTTACGTCCTCAAGGACATGATATCCCGACAAGATGACGACGGAAGTGACTCGGAATTAAATCAGGCATGGGCACTTCACGATGCAGGAGATGAAAGAGGGCTGATCGAGCTTGTAAATCGGGAAATTACTCACGAGACGCCGGACATGGAATTGCTCCTGGAGGATGTCAGTTTCTCTGATGTGGACTTCGAAGTAGACGGGGGCCTAACTGACCCCACAGGGACATCTGTTGAACACTTTGGAATAGACTTGTCTCCAAAGATGTCAGCATCTTCAACATTGGCGCCTGTGTGCGATAAGTCGGAAGGAAAAGGGTTTGAGCCGTGCCAAGCAAGGCCTGCCGTTGATTTTGACCTGGCGGTGAATGGAGCGCAAACCATGCCTGCAATGGCATCTTTGCCCTACAAAGCTCACCATCCTTTACAGCAGCAGATTTTTAATCAGTACATGCAAGGCTCTACTCCCTCGACTTCGTCCCTGCCAACACTGAACGCAGGGCTCTACACCGTACAAGAGACCTCCAAACTGCCCGTGAACCTCCCGCAGCACATGCGCATTCCTAATCACCAAGCTATGCCCGTTCCTACGCCAGCCATAGGCCTCTATCACCCCATGATGGCTACGTTGAACCAGCACATTTTGGCTGCAGGAGCCAATCAGCACTTTTTGTGGCAATTTCCCAACATGCCCATGGCTGCCATGCTTGGTGTGTCACACCCGCGGCTGATGAGCCAGCAAATTCAAATGCCACAGCACGCGCTTTTGAAGCAGGAAAAAAGGACCCAATTTGCTTTTGCCGCAGCTCCATCTTCTGATGTTGCTCCTCCAAAATCTACAGACGCTATAGAGGCACCGGTAAAGCTGGCCTACCCGATCGGATCCATGCCCGAGCACGTACTTATGCCGCCCGGGCAAGTTAACGCTCAAGCCTGGCATATGCCCAAGGCCACGTTGCCTTTCACATTTGGTAATGCACTATCCATGAATGCTCAGGCGCCGCATTTCCAGCCAACCTCTCTGACGCTGCAGGCCCCTGAGATTGCTGGTGGGAATAAGGGGTTTGTGGGGGCGTACAGTCCTAATTCTAGGAAGAGGCGTATCGAACGCTTCCATGAGAAGAGGACCAAACGGAACTGGGATCCTAAGAAGAGGAAAACCACAGGCGTCTATATGGGTCGTCAAGACCTGGATACAATGGTCCGTGTTCGCGGACGGTTCACCAAAAAAGTGGCACGAGATGAACAGCAGGCGGACAGGAAAGAGGAGAGGGCGGTCACACTCTCCTTAGCAGGCAAGACTGAGACGGAAATCAAGGCCAACAAGTCGAAAGATATGCACCTGGGAATGGGGATGGAGAAGGCTGGAGGATCGGAGGTCTACTGGGAGAAAGACGCCGACATGGAGTACAGCGAGGAGATGGACTTTTCCGACACTTTACTCGACCTTTCACCGGTCGAGATGGATCAAGAATACGAACCCATGTTTTCAAAATGCTTGGGGGTGTGGTCGGAGGGAGACAATGGTCCGTCAGCAAATCACATGCGTACCTTGCCAGCGATGTCATTTGACATAGCCCTTTGAGGAGTCGGGGAGAGTATACAGGGAAGAATATCAGAAACAATAGGTATTTCTTGTGGTGCAAGCAATGCATGTACGTAGTAAGTGGGTATATGAAGGGTATACATAGAGTAAGGCAATTTGATTGAGACATATTACATATGAAACCCAGTGAAGACGGTGCACCAGATTGATTAAAAAGGAATTGTGAAAAAAGGCATCTATCAGCGAATGTAACCCAAAATAATGCCTGTAAAACAACATTTGCTCTTCCTTGATCACTACATTCATGTCGTTGAAGAAGAATACAGATATCTGATTGCTCAATAAGTTTCAAAAGGTTATGTTTCCATGCACGTGCCGTAAAAGCCCTGTCTCTATATCGCAGACTTCATACCGATCCTTCAATTGACAAATTCGCACTACCTGCATCCGTGGCGCGCAAAAATGCCGCCCAGACAAGCAATCCGTCCGGAACAAATGTCCACTCCCCCGACAGTCCGTTCAATAGGACGCGCCGTGTCACCTCCTCCATCGGTATCCAGTCCCCCCACTGAACCTCTTCTGGGTCCAGCTTTGCGCTCTCCTCTTGTCCTCCTTCAACGACGTACTCGTACACATCAACGAAACACCGATTGTAAGATGTCTCCACAAGGATATCAAACAAAAATCGAAAGTCTGTTGACTCCTCCTGCGCCGCAGAAGCTGCGGGACCAAAGCCTAGTTCCTCCTGCAGTTCCCGCCTGGCAGTCGTCTTGGTGTCCTCCCTGAATAAGCTCACACCGCCCACGAACATGTCGTACAAAGAGGGGAAAATCCGCTTGTGTGCGGATCGTTGATGCACGAACACCCTGCTTTGCGCGTCCCGCACAAGTATGCCCGCCCCCTTGTGCAACACGTTCAGTCGATGCATAAGGGGCCGGGGCAAGCCTTTGCTGGATTTGGGGAGGAGATCATGGCCGTGATTGTTGACCCAGGAGACACGTTCTACTTTCTCTTCTCCGTCTGCTTCGTATTGGGTAGCAGAGCTGCTGTGGCGAACAGGATTTTTTTCTAGAGCTCGCAGAATGAGGTTGCAAACTTCTTCCTCCTGTCGTAAAGATTTGTCAGCCAGCAAAAATGGACCAGCCTCATCACATTCTGGAAGACCCGCCACACCTGCCAAGAGAGGTTTGTCTGAACATGTTCCAGGACGATGCCAGACCGTCCATAATTTGGCTAAAGAAGCCGTTGCGGGAGGAGGACGAGACCAGCCGAGTCCGTCCAATGCGCTCAGATTCGAGCTTGTTGAAGCCTGAAGCGTAAAGGAAGACGCTGTGTGTTCGGCAGGAGATGTCATGGAATGTGCAATAGTCTTATCGCTGTTGTAGTTGAAGGCTGATTGCCAATTCAAATGCAAAGATTGAAGATTTGAGAAGCGGGAGAGCTCCTCAATTTTGTAGGCAGCAATCCAAGTGTAGGCAGATGAGGTAGAGGCAAAAGACGAGGAGGGTGAAACAGCCTTCGTGCTCAATTTCGCACTTTCTGGGCGCAAACGGGGCATTGTCGTTGCGCGCGAAGGCGTTAAAAAGCACCCTCCCGACCGAGTAGCGAGCTCCGCAACTAGGAGAGACTTGGCAATGGCAACCATACAAAATTTATCCCTACGTGGAGTTTTGATACCATCTACATTACTTTGGAGGAGCAATAATGTCAGACTGATATATGCTAGCTGGCACTTAAAGTGGAGAGCGAATACTATCCCAGAGCATGTTTGGCTTCCGGCATCAAGCCATTCCCGCAGATGCGCACCTTCCAACCAGTAGTGCTTTGTAGCCATACAAAGCAACGCGATCGGCGCATTTTGCCATCACTTACATAATGCTATGCACTTCCCCAACAATGCTGAATCGCTCTCAAAGAAAGAAACTGGACCAAATCCATTCGCCTCTGAAGTTTCATCGAGGACTCCCACGCTGGGAGACAGGCAGGCAACTGCATGGTCGGCATTTTCCTCGTCATCACTATGGAGATATCACCGGAATGTTTGAATTTTTGAGGCTCGCGGAGGCGGAAACCGGTCATGCAATGGCAACACGGGTGAAGGTGATATGTAACCAATTTGACCCGCAGCATCTTTCCGTGCCACGCGCGAATGGCCAAGCCTTTCCAACAGGGTCACAATAGTTTCAAGTATACTGTCTAGATGCCGACAAGTCCGCATGTCTCACATTATTCCATTTTTTCTCATTCAGCATAGAACGGGGCAAGCCGGGGGCGCATATTCTTGCATTTTAGGGCGAGACACGATCTCGCTCATGCTGGAAAGACAAGGAACGACTATGAAATTAGACGATGCCTTACTTAAAATACGACGCGCAGATTCAGAGGAGTTCACCAAGAATGAGGTACGGAAAGAGAAAGGGGGGGAGAACAGAGGAAATTTGAAGAAGCATTTTCATGTGCTTTCGGCCCCCTGTTTAAAGTCTCCTGGGAATGTACCACGGCGTAAAAAGACGATAATCTGTGAAAGATACGTATAGATTGTCCATAGACTGAAATACATAAGGAGAATAGAGGACTTGAAACATGAAGGCCGTCACAATACGTACTTCCACCGGGATCTCAAAGCGAAGTGCTCCCACTTGTACATGACTCGCACATATTCTGTTCCTCTGTGTAATAAGTCCTGATTTACCCTGACTTGAGTAAGGAATCTGATGGGAGTGCGAATCATTCATCTCACTGTCGGATTTCACATAAATAATACTTTTCTGACCACTAGCGCCCTGAGCACTCCATTGAAAGAAGCCTTTCTAATCTTTCCTTGCGGGACAACGATTTCAAGCGCCCATTAAATAAGTTCCAGAACTCGGATCTTCACCACACATATTTTCTTCAACGCACCAAGACCTTACAAGCTGCGGGGAAGCCAGAATATGCCCAGGCAGCAGCCATGCAAGCATTCCTTCTCCTACCAGATGCGCCCGAGGCACGAGCCAAAGTACTGTCCTTGACTCGCGAGATAAGCCTGACAGACTTTGGTGTCGGACCGAGTGCGAACCAACTCACAACGGAAGGAGCTGGTCTCTTCATTGATTGGGGCCAGGACGAGGCTCCTGAGCACTGGTACCGAAAAGGGACAGGTGAAATGATGGAAAAGTCACTACCCTACACGGCCTTACATGCCTTGGAATTGGCCATCCATGCGCAACACCTCCCCACTACGATACTGCAGAAAAAGGCACGTCTATGCATTCACCTGGCAGGGGCGTCGTCGGAATTGGAGGGGCTGGCTGATTTTTCTGTGATATTTGAGAAGCTCCCGCATCTCGAAGAACTCGAAGTGGTGCAAGTAGGATGGATGGGAGTGCCAGGTCCTTGCAAACGAACCCTGCCTGACCCGCAAGCTCCACCTTCAGGATTGATCGTCGGCGAGACAAAAATGCTGGGGGGCGGCTGCCGACTACGGACTAGGCGCTACAAAGGGCTGTACCATGATTTCCTATCGAAGGCCTTTCGGCACCACTTTGATGGGCAAGGCTACTTGCACGAGGCACCCGATCTGGTGCTCATGGCGAATCCAAGCCTGGACGCGTACTTTGACTCCTGGGCCCCGACGTTGGCGTGTCTGCGGGACGCTGGCTATTTCACGGTAGTCACCGGGGGCAACCTGGACCACTCTCGCGAACACCACAACCCGATCTTGCAGGCCATGGGTGTGAGGATGGCCTTGCATTTGCGTACGTCGCGTTTTGGGATTGTGCACGGGCGTCGAGCCTGCAAAAATCATCACTTGTGTGCCTTTTTGGGCCCTGCCCCCTTCCTGCCGGAGAATTTGCGTCATCCTTCCTCCGATCAGGAATGGAGGGCGGTTCGGCATCTCCTGCGACACATAGGCGTGGATACGGGGGCCCGTGGGGAAATGCAGGCCCGTCTAGCTTTGCTCAAGCAGCAAGTCGCAGTCATTTCTGTGGCGCAGACGGCCTCAGCGGCGTCGAGAAGGCTAGGGCTAGGATATGAAGGTGAAATTTGGCCAAAGAGGAACGGAAGCATTGCCGGCTCGATTTCTGTTGAAAACGAGACCTGCAATGCATTCAAGAAAGTAAAACTTCACGACGAGAAGGAAAGGCCCTTTCCGGTTAAGGACGAGGACTCTGGAGAGGGAGAGGAGGAGGCTGCCAACACTTGTCCCAAGACGCCTGTGCAAACTACACCCACGCACAAAGAGGAGGAAACCGATGTGTGGGGTGCAGCCATCACTCACAGTTGTGACAACATCAAAACTCCGACCAGAGTCACAACGCAGTCGCCTGGGTGGTCTTGCAGAAGCTTTCGCAAGGGCCAGAATGGGATATACCGTGTGAAAGATTCCTGAGGCTATTGAATGACTGATGACAATTCGGGACCGGGGGCACGGGTGTGAGAGATGCGTTTTCGAAACACACATACAACTTACACGGCTGAAAGAGCCGCGAGACAAAACGAGATTAAAACTGCTTTCCCGCCATGGTTTATGTGAAAAGAGGTAAAAGACGGTAAAGACACCATAAGTTACGAGCTAAGGGCTCACGAGGGCCGTCGACTGGTCAGACAGGCGGCTCAGCCATGTGAGTATGTACGAAGCACGAACCAAAAGTAGGAATTGAGCCTGCCTGAAAATTTTAGGGCCTTGGCCACTCTTTCCTTTGCATGAATTCCTTTCTTTTGCACACACGGCCGTTTCATCTCGTTTCTTACTGAATATTTTTACGGGAAACCTAACCTCTCGTTCATCCTTGTCACATCGTTATCTATCATTTATTGATGGGCTACCGAATGATTGCGTACGTTTTAAAAACAACAATTCTGAACCAGGACTTGTTGAAGTTCATAGATTACGTGTGTTCAGAAGGTGCTTTTGCCTCGTCTATTGGCCATGAACATTCTCCAGCGTACTGCCCTCTTTTGTCCAATTTTTTTGCCGCTTTATGCGCGCATCTTCTAACGTGTTAGTAATCTAAGTGCTTCAGCGTCCGTGGACTGTAGATGATTTTCACACATGCTATGAATCAGGAGCCCCGACGCCAACGGACAAATCCTCTCTTTCCTGGCATACATGATGATTTTAATTACCCTCGGGAATGATGCCGACCTCAGTCAAATTATCGTACATGTCTCCAAACGTTTTCGCTGGCTCGATGAAGCCTTCTGGAAGCAATTCTTTCGTAGCTTTTGCATTGCTGAAGAGTACAGGATTTCCCACGTTGTAAGCAATGTCCTCCCAAGAGAGCTGCTTCCCCGCCAAGCCTGAGTAATACCCAATCCAAAGGAAGGCCTTGGGCACCGCGTACCTGGGCAAACGGCGGTTAATTTTGGCGCGAACCGTGTCAATGATCTCTTGGAAGGAGAGCGTGGCACTTGTGGCGATGTAGCGCCCGGAGGCTTGAGTGTTGGTCAGGGCCGCCACGTGCAGGGTGGCGACATCTCGGACGTCAACCACACCCCAGGCCAGATTCACCATGCCTGATTGATGGCCCGTTACTAGGTTTTTGAACAGAGTTAGGCTCATCGAGTCCTCTCGCCCGGACAGGGATGGGCCGAAGACCAAGCCCGGCTGAATCGCTACCAGGTCCCATTCAGGTTTCTTCCCGTCTTTCCCCACCTTCTCGGCATACTCCCACGCTGTCTTCTCGGCCAGGGTCTTGCTCAAGCTGTACGCCTGGTTGTTCTCCAGCCTGGATGTCGTGTTCCAATCCTCCTCCGAGTACACGTATCCGGGAGGTTTCTCGTTCCCAAAGCCAAAGACGGCGCGGATGGAGGAGGTCAGAACCACACGCTTGATGCTCCCTGCCTTGAGAATCGACTCGAACACATTCTTTGTACCTTCTACGGCGGGAACGACCACGGCTGCGTTGGGGTCATCAGGCATTTCCAGAGGCACGGGGGAGGCCGTGTGAATAACGCAAGTGGCGCCAGCGCATACCTCGTCGAACGAGCCGGGAGCCAGTAAATCGGCTTTGTGGAAAGTCAACCGCTCGGACGCTCCGGGAAGATCGCTGAGGAACTGGAATATGGCGGAATCGGGCATTTAGGAGAGATCAGTAAGCGGTAATTGACTGTTTATCGACAATCCGTTCGAATTTGGTCACGCCGCGGGGGCACAAAATCTTCTGTTGAGGGTGAACGGTAGATTGAATCCAGCTTCACTGAGAAGGAAATTCAAGATTAGCCAAGCGTTCTTGCACAAATTCGTACTTAATGCTTACCTTCAGACGCGCCTTGTTGCTGGGATCGCGGACCGTTGCCCTAACTTTGAAACCATTTTCCAACAACACCCTGACGATGTGGCTCGCAATATAGCCTGTAGCACCCGTCACTACCACAACGGTCTGACGTGTGGTGTGTCGTACTCATTATGAAGTTATGCAAATACATGATTTCGACATTTTTCATACAAGTGAACCCTGGCTGCCTTTAGCGGTGGAAAGAACTCCCCTCGCCCTGTGACAAGTGTGAAGATATCACGTACCCGCTGGATGGTGGAGGGAGTTAAGGCGCCATCCTGACTCTCCCGGCCAAATCGATTGACTATATTGCTGAATACATTCATGATCCTGGTGGTAACGATGTCTGTCTCGAGCATGGAAGAAAAGGAATAAGGTTCAAAAGGTTTCGGCAGATCGAATCGGTTCGCAAAGTCTAGGAGAAAACAATTCCCGTATAGGAATTCTTTGCCGATTGGGACCCTTGCAAACCATCCTGCCTCTCATACGACAATGTCAGAGCGAAAGTCTGCGTCCAAATGGCCCTCCTCCACCAGCATAGGCCATCCCCGGCCGCGTGGTCCGAGTCCGCCTTCAAGGAAGAAGGAAATGTAACGGCAACGGCGAGAGCCTGGGTTGCTGGGACCATCCGGTCCTATGTTCTGCTTTTTGCACCGATACACCCTTGCATGCCTGCACCATGGCTCCGGGCGCAGTGTTTTAACTCTTCACGCCTCTTTTTTGCCACCACAGGCGCGGGTGGCGGAGCGGGTTGTGTAAGTTCTTCATTCCTCGCGAGCCTTTCCGTGTTCCAGTGGGCCGTCTTTGCTATTTTTTCGTCATCATCATCATCATCATCGTCATCCAAAAGGATAAATTACCATGAACATGCGGTTGCGCAGAATAGTCTATGTGATTCTCTTTTGTGCATTGGCATTTCAACACGTCCAGACCTTTGCAACGACGGCAGAATCAGCCGAATCGGTTCCTGTCCTCGACGAGTGTCTTGATGAAGACCTGCCGCAAGCACCCAAGAAGGTGGAGGTGGAGGCCCGTCCTCGCGCCCCTAGGCTAGGTGATGTAGTGGCCAATGTTAAAAACAAGGTCCCTGTTGAAGTGCCGGGGTGGTTTGCCGGGATGTGGTCAAGTATGAGGCAAATTGCGGCCCCGCACGTCCAGAAGGTGATTGAGTACGGTGGGGAAATGCTCCGTCCTGGGGAGGAGATAGCAGACCGGTGCAAGAGGAGACGCAAAACGAGGACTTCCTCAACAGAGGGAGGTCTAGACGCTTGTGCGTTGCTTGATGTCTCCTGGTCTCTGGGTCGACAGTTGGGTGCACTCAGCAGTAACGCGTCGAGCAGGACAGCGTGGTGGTTGGTGCGGGAAGTGCCCCGAGTCATCCTTCCCTTCCATCTCTTGTGGGTGGATGTGGCGGTAGATATCAGCCCCGTCACGAGCAGCGACGTCGCGTCGATCATCCTGCACCAACGTCCTTATTGGGTAGTGCAAGCCTGCGACGTATTCTCCGCCTTTTTCGGGCGGGTCCTCCAGCGACTCCCTATGCTCGACTTTTTGATGAACGCCCGCTACGACAAACTTTACATCCACGACCCGGCATGCCCCCTCGTGCAGGTTGACGGCCTCGTCTTTCGCGCCCCCCTCACGCCCGACGGCTTCTGCGAGACGCGGCCTTGCCAAGGAGAGTCCTCGATCACCGGCCAATTTCCCCCCGGGGAGCACGCTTCCTACTGCGAATGCGACCTGCCCACAGGTTACTGCCGGCTGCGGGTCGAGCCTCTCCGCGACTTCCAAGTACTGGTTGACGAGCCGCTGGCTTTCAAGCGTTTCGCCGCGCACGCCAGCAGCGAGGTGGCGTGGGTGACCGTGCCGGAGTGGTTGCCTCCCTGGGCACGATTGACCTTTCAAGGGCTATTCCCCCGCTACCTCTTCAATTTCCTGGTGGGAATCATCCTGCTCTACTCGGCGGAGACCCTGGCTGAGTCCAGGCTCTTCCACGCCGGCATAGCTGCCCTTTTGGGCCTTTTTTCCGGCCTAGTGCTGGCGGGGCTGCTCCTCAACCACGTCTTCCGCACGGTCAGGCGCCTGGAGCCTTTCTCTGGCCTGGCCACGCTCCTCACGTCCGCCACAGCTATGCTCTTGTACCAACGGCTCGGCCGGCACTCCCTTCTCCCCCTCACCCAACAGCTCCTGGGGGCTCTGTGGGCGGATGGGAAAGGGCAACTGGTGATTGTCGCCTGTGCCCTGCTCGGAGTGGGCTTGACTTGGGGCATGGGATGGTTTCTCGAGACCGAGGAGGAGGCGAAAGAGCGCCCAGGCTGGCTGCACCTGTATTTCAACGGACAGCACAACATCCGGGTCGCTTTGACGGCGGTGGCGCTCTTTTTCCTATGGCGCGCGGTGCCCACGCCCGATCTGGGCGTGCTCCTGCTGGTGCTGGTGCTGACACGGGGTTTTTGGGGCCACGCCTTGCACCGACTCGACATGTACCTGCACCGGAGTCCCCAGACACACCGCTTCCTGGCCCGGGCATCGACCTTCGCACCTGCCGGCTCCTGGAGGAGCGAGAGGCGACCGCGGGCACGAATCGGGGATGAGGTAGAGGAGGAGGAGGAGGAGGAGGATTATACGACGAGGGAATTGCAGAAATTGCGTGCCTACGTGCAGCGATATCCGGAGGCGACCCACCGGGTGCGGCACGGGAAGATGGATCTGGCGCGATTCCGGGAGGGAGGAGAGGACTTTCTGGTGGAGGAAGAGGACGAGGACGCGGAGAAAGGATGGGAAGGGAGGAGGGTTGGCTGCTGCGTACAGTAAAGTCAACGACCGAGAGGAAAGTGCAAAACATCGAGGAAAGGACACGACCGTGGGACAAGCGGGGAGATGGGGGAATGGATGCGGTAGGGTGGGGGCGAGGGGGCTGCGATGGAGGTGGGTAGAAGCTGTGCATATCAATTGACTGAGCGTGTGTATAAATGTGTGTGGCATTCCGTATCGGTGGAATGAAAATAAAGTCTCATGTGCAAATACCGTGACTTGCTTTCCGACAGTAGTTGCTCTAGAGCGAGCCTTACGGACCAAGGCGCTCAGCCACCCCTACTTGCCTGGGGTCGCGTGAGGGCTTCCATGTCCATGGTTGAAAACAAAGAAATTCATCCACAATAAGTCTGACAAACACGACACATCTTTAACGCCTTAGATTTATTTAAATTTGACATTTCTTCTTAAAATTATTGGAGTATCAAACCTAACCTCTCGTTCATCCTTGT